TGCCATCCTTTTGCTACACACCACGTCAGCCCCATGTGATGTTCTCCATCGATAACATACTACTGTCACGATATACCTTCACATGCCGACAGCTCTAAGGATAAACCGACATCTAAAGAGTGACTTCTACGTCTGTGTTCTTTCATTCTATCAGTGTGGGGTGCCTTGCACCTTCTAGAGTGTTAGGTTTTATAAGAATTAAACAAAATTCTTGTTTAACTTCTATAAAAAAAACAAACAAACAAAAAAAAGAAAAGAAAAGAAAACGAAAATACCTCAAGTATTGATTAAATCCAAACTTTAAAGGTTTGTTTGAGGAACGGGCCTTTCTTCCAAAAATTAAAAAAAGGCAATTTTTTTAGGAACAAATGTATATTAATTGTAGCCAAAAATGTTAAAAAATATTTCTTGATAAAAATCAAGACTATCATCTGCATAACTGGTTAGTGAACGATAAAATCCTTTGGGTGATCCAACCTCTTTATATTTATGTTCAGTGTCTTTAAAACCTCATCTGAAACCAATTCAAATCCAACTACCTTTGTCCCCAGAGCTGCATTCTACATCCTACTGTTCATACTACTGTACGTGCTGCATACTACCTTACCAGGTCTGAATCCACCTAACCTGTGTCCATGCCAACCACTGAGGGGTCAGTTGCACGTCAACCGGCTCCTGCCACAACCAACAAACCAACCATTGTCCTCAGTCCCGGAGGCTGCACTGACCTGAGTAATATCGTTCCGTAGAAGAGGAAATACAGGATAGGAAGAAGGAATGACAAGTGAAGGAGGCGTAGTTGTGATTCTCAGGGTGTCTTATACATAAATCTGTCTGTTTTCCAGTCTCTCGTGTCCTGATGCCCCTAACCGAGCCCAAAGACCTTCACGTCCTTCCACTAGAAACTCTGTTTACAACCGATTGACCACAGATCAATTCCTCTCTGTCAGTTGATTGATACTATTGATTGACCAATTCTCTTGAGAGACACTACATAGCCTGCCAAGTGAATGGAGCTAGACACTGTAACTAATGTTTACAACCCAATGAGACCAACAATGCTG